GTAAGCAAACATGCCAATCGCCCTGCGAAGGGAGCGGATACTCTCTGGCGGCGGAAAATCTTGAAGTGGGCGGAGTCTTTCCTCGTCAGGAGCGATCACCCCATTTCCAATCCGATAACCTAATACATTGATGGATGTCTTGGATTCGATTGATTTGCTTTCATTCAAGGTAAGGCTCCTGCATTGGACTGCTTCATGAAATGCCTGGACATTTACGTCATGTTCCTTTTGATCTCGCCCAGCCACTGTTATGTTGTCCAGATATGGAGGAAATGTGTCATTGAGGTTCTCCTCATCAACAAAATTGGCCATTGCTCTCTGGAAAGCAGCCACTCCGTTAGTGACGCCAAACGGCATACGGCAAAATTGATACAGTCTTCCATTAGCTTCAAACCCAGTAAACTTTCGATCGGACTCCTTTATTGGCACTTGATGGTAAGCACTCTTTGAATCAAACGTTGAGAAAACTTTGTATTGTGCTAGGTTGTTGATCACGTCATCGATCTGAGGAAGAGGGCACGCATCAAGCTCTGTGTATTGATTGATGGTTTGAGAGTAATCAATACAGAGCCCCTTCTTGTGCCGGTTTGAGGGATCTTTAGAAACAACAATTTGCTCTCCATGGTGTTATGGTAGGTTCAATAATTCCTTCAGACAGGAGTTTTGTAACTTCCTGATTGACTGGTCTTCTTTGCTAAAGCACCTAGATCTACTGGCGATAGGCTTACAGTCAGGGAGAAGGTTTCCAAACAATGAAGCTCCTCGATGGAGGCTGTCGAAGAAAGAGGACAGGCAGGCCTAGGAATTACTAGTTCTGGTCTACCGGGTGTCCCAAAAAAAAGTACTCCGGTTTGATTTATAATAACTTCTAAACAAGTACAGCTATCAAACTGAAATAACATGCATTAAATAGAGGAAGGACTAACTTAGATTTTGATATATTACAGTTGTATTTTACTTAAAAATTCACGGAGATATTAATGTTCAAAATCGGGAGCTTATTTTGGGATGTGTCTGAAATATGCAAAAAACGGCGTATCAAATATTAACTTCTGCGTTTGTTTGCTTGATGACATGTCAGGCTAACTTGTATTTCAGCAAATTGTCGTTAGGGTTTGTAAGGGATATGGCGTAGATTTAGACTTCTTACATGCAAGTCTTAGCTCATTGTTTCCTGAAATATGAATGTACGAAATTATGCAAGTATTTAATAGGTCTTTACAAACTTTACAAATTTATACGGTACATGAAAGACCATGCAAGGCAGGCGCTTAAATTTTTCTTAGCCTAATTTTTTTATGTTTTTCATGGGTTCAAAACAGAGTTGATTATTTCTCGGTTAGAGCAGGATGAATATTATTCTGCAATGAAGGAAATAATATTGCTTTTTGCAAATACACATCACAGTATCAACGCTACTATTTTGTTACGTTGTGTTCCAAAAATGTTGGATGTCTCCAGGGAGTTGCATGCTTAATTGTTATGTCCTATGGAGTTGTATGGTTTGATTGTGTTTCATTCTCAGTTTATTCTGAATTTAAAAAGATTAAGAAAAGGCAAATGAGTTTGAGTGTCCTTAACAAGATTTCAGAACGTTGCAGAAGTTAGAAGAGCTTCACAATTCCATTGTGACAGCATGCCCTAATTCAGAACTACGAACGATCCATGACGCTCCTTCGCGATGCAGAGTGGTCTCATGAAATAAGGAAACGTATTCGTGCTAGGAACACACACAGATTTCGGACGAATAAATCTTGCTTGTATTTTGTAGATAATACTTTGTTTCATAATAAACAATTTGTCAAGTGTTATTTATTTACTGGTAATCGTGCATGTTTCAGTCGGGCAAATCTTGATTAATATTTGATACGCCGTTTTTTGCATATTTCAGACACATCCAGAAATATGCTCCCGATTTTAAACATTAATATCTCCGTGAATTTTTAAGTTAAATACAACTGCAATATATCAAAATCTAAGTTAGTCATTCCTCTATTTGATGCAAGTTATTTCTCTTTAAAAGGTTTACTTGTTTAGAAGTTATTATGAATTAAACCGGAGTACTTTTTTTTGGGACACCCGGTAGTAACGCCAAACTCTATGGTGACCCGCTTGTGCTTCTTCTGGAAGTCTTGCCCAAGGATAATGTCACTACAGAGATCTTTCAAGACTCCCAAACGAATGGATGAGTAGCAAAATTGATTAATTACAACATCCGTTAAAACAGTGACCAAGGATCTGAGTTTAAAAGATGTTAGGGCCATAGATATCTTCTGTGTTGATGCATGAAGCTTGAGAGACAGTTTCCTTGCCATAGTTTCACTTATAAAGCTTTCCGAACTCCCAGAGTCAATGAGTGCGGTCAGTTCAATACAGCCAATAGAGACTTTTACAGATGCTTGTTTTAGACTTTCTGGACAACTTGCAACAATTGAACAAAGAGTAGGCGTGAACATAGAAGCAGTGGTGATTGCAGGCGCTTTTGACTTGCAAAATTTAGCATAATGTCCTTTCTTTCCACAGTTGTTACAATTAGAATTCTGTTGTGGAGATTATCACCACAAAAGTAGCATTTCTTCGATGTGAATGTAGCTGCTAGAGAATCATAATCTAAGGCATGAGCTCCAGGAACCTCATCTGTCAGATGGGAAGAGACTGCTGCAGTTGTAGTTATTTCAGGCATCCTATATGCTTCAGAATTCTTTTGAGCCAAGTCCAAGGCATTTTCTTGGTCAAAAGCAGTTTGAAGGTCGAGCTGTTTATTTTCTAGGAGCCGTTGGCGAATCAAAGGTGATAAGAGGCCATTAATAAAGTAATCACGAACCAATTCCTCACAATACTGTTCAGCAGTTACGTTCTTAAGGTTACAATCTTTGCTAAGTTTTCGAAGTTCTTGGAGAAATTCTGTAAGAGTCTCGCCGGATTTCTGCCCTCTTGTTGCCAGCAAATGTCTAGCAAATATTTCTTTTGGTCTCTTGACAAATAGTTGTTCTAGTACGCGAATGGGCCAATTTATAGTCCTTGCAGTCTTCGATATATATCAGGAGCCTTTTCGTCACATTCCAATGCCTCCATTCTTTCGTAGCTGTGTTTCGTAGTAAGTCGAGTCGTGCTGGTTCGAGTAGCGTATCCATGTTTTCGTTGTCCAAACTGATTTTAGCGATTCTACTTTGGGTTTATTTTAAGTAGGATAAATTGTCGTAATCATAGAAATGAAAAACCATACTAATTGCATGGCTTTATCCTACTTAAAGCCAGCTGTAAACTTAATACGTTTAACAATGTACAAAATGGCCGACACTAAAATGACCAATGACTAACGCGGGCTCAGGTGCCACAGCAACCCAATTCGGTAACTAATAAATATAAAGTTTATGTCATGTCTCTTGGTGGTAGAGTAGAAGGATGTGGGACCAAACAAGTCACACCATATATGCATTGCTTGGTTTATCATGTGCCAAACTTTATGAAGAAACATGGTGGTGTTAAGAAGTTCACAGGACAAGGTAATATTTTCCATATTTGTTTAATTAACTCTTTCTCACCACATCCCAGTCGTGTCGTCCTTGCGAGAATGATGGCTAGAAATTTCATATCTTCGGTTCAGTGCATGCTATGAAGACAGAAATACCACCATTCGATTCAGAAATAAACGGTTCAACTGATTCCTCACTGTAGTTATAGTCATATTATCAACATTGTAGCGATTTATGGGCCTTTGAAAGTCAAACACGATCATATTGTATCAAATTATGCAATTGTCTGAACAAAAATATAGACTAGCCATACCTTTCAGCAAAAATAACTTCGGCCCCTTCGAACATATCTTTGTAATAGTCTTGTTAGAATCCCCATCAAAAACACTATTGTTATCTGCAAGCCTGTATCTTCAAATCTTTATCTTTTATCAGTATATTTCCATTTCTTGTCCGACTGTAAGCTTGAAGTGAGTTAATCCCAACCGGAAATACGACAAAAAACTGTCAAAATAATGCGACATTTGTATCGTATGACCCTGCAAAGGCCAGAAATGGACTCGGAAGGTCAAATTGCAACTACACACGCAAGTTTGACGTCATCCCGGCCACAAGACCTTATTGGCCAATTATTATGCAATGTATGCGAGTGCGAGTAAAAACCCGATATCTTGAAAAATTCAAAACAAATATTTCTACTGGCCATATTCATACGAAACTTTTTACATGAAAGCGCTTGAATACAAAGAGTGTTTTACTCATATAGCCTTTTAGAAAATATTCAACTTTTTCTCGATATCCAATACAGAATGTTTGGCCAAGTGGTGAGTATAAATTATGATTCTTTCGGTTTGTGTAATGTTCTGACAGCAATTGCGTTCGAAAGGTTATTTTGTGAGGATTTCAATGGTGGGTTTTGTTTTAAAGGGGGGGGGGGTAAATACCCGCCGAGATATTTACATTAGAAATATTGACTCGTAATGTAATGTGAAAACCGCCTGTTGTTATTTAACCATATATGCATTGCTTGGTTTATCATGTGCCAAACTTTATGAAGAAACATGGTGGTGTAATGACATTCAAAGGACAAGGTTAATATTTGCCATATTTGTTTAAATAGTTTAACTAATATTTTCACTGAATTTATAGGCGTCGAGAAGAATGATGACGTACGGAAGTTCCATTTGACCAAATCAAACAAGTGGGATGCACCTAAAGATGTCCTGCTTGTGGGCAAACGGTTACAGGTGACAAGTGAACAAAAACGAAGAACAACAACCTACCACAAAAGGAATGTTGATTATTGGTCTCATGAAATTAGGGAAGCACGAAGCAAACGGCACAGGACATTGTTAGATTCTCCCTGTCCTGCATTGCAAGAAAGCAATTCAGAAGACACTTTAGATGTTGAAAGTCTCTCAATTGCAGACGTCAAGGAAAGGTTGAAGGAATTGGGAGTGCAAACCCGTATTAGGAAACTTGAGAAGTTGAAACACATTCTATGAAAAGCACTCCAAGACCAACAAATTAGTTAAATTAATATTTAACCCATTAAGCTGCAGAGCTTCCCCATTGACAAGTAAAATTGTCTGGCGTTAGACAAGTAAAACAATATGGTGTTAGACAAGTAAAACAATCTGGCGTTAGACAAGTAAACAAATAAGTAGGGTGCATTGCAGCTCAATGGGTTAGAGACATTGTCAGATTTTCTGATTAACTCATTAAGCTGCAGAGCTTCCTCATTGACAAGTAAAATCGTCTGGCGTTTAGACAAGTAAAAAAAAATAAGAGGGTGTCCTGGGGTGCATTGCAGCTCAATGGGTTAAATATATAGCACAGGTCACTGTAAGATGATGGAAAAGTTTCTGTCTTTCACTCCCTGCTAACCCCAAAACAGGTCATTGTATCCCATGTAATATTTTGTACATCAACAATCATTATTATTCTCTTTGAATCGATGAACATGACCAGTAATATATCTTACTATGACCTCTGTATACTGCAGCAATACTGTATGAGCATAATTTATAAAGTATGAGTTACTGTTGTGCATGTGAAAGTCTGTAATAGATAATAATTAAAGACCTTTTCAAAAATTGTAAATAAAAGTAAATATAAAAATATAATATTCAATTGTAAACATTCATTATATCAGAAGTACATATTAAAATCAAAGTTGCTATAATTGTTATCATCTAGAGTATGCTAATTATGAGTTGAGAATATTTTCCTTGTTGTAAGGTGTTCTAGCAAATGATATGCTAATTTTTTCAATAGGAAATCTGGGTGTTTCCACAAACTGTGTCCGCCTCTAACGGCATGCTTCTTAGGCAACCAAAGAAGTACAACCTTGGCCTTTAAGGGAAAATCTATTTTTCCCTTCACCTTGCTCTCATAAATAGGAAGCATGTGGAAGCAGTTAAAGTCTTTTTCTTGGTAAAGAAAATGGCCCCTGTGCTCACATGGTATTCCTTTGCCTTGAACAATATATCACCAGATATCCATGTCTATTTCGATGAGGCCATTTCCAAGCGCTTTAGCCTTTAGCATGCTAGAAATACCACCAGACAACATTCTGGTTACATGTTCCAATCGGGTAATGGTGGGTTTGGGTGGTCTTTCATAACCCCCAGATATAGATTATTTTAAGTAGCAGTTTTTGTCATTATCATCATTAGGTAGCAGTTTTTGTTATTGTCATCATTAGGTTTAAGCTAACTCTTAAACATTTGTTGCCCAAAACCTGAAGTGACTGAAATTAACCAAGCTAGGAATGGATGCTCTCCATACCCACTTCTGTGATAAGGAATAATTTTCGGATGAGCAAAAAATATTCTTAGCCAAAACAGCATATCGAACTGAAAACTTTGGTTTCACTCCCTTAAAATGAACACGACTGTGCACACTCTAATACACAATAAATTTTCTTGATGTGTAAAACAATACAGTCTGTTACAATTTTATTATAGACCGTCATTATGCCATGGGAGATTTGAAAGCCATGGTGCAAATTTTTGGCGAACACCTATGGGAAGATCTTGATGAAATAAATGTGAGGTTGTGCGGGTTGTTGTAAGTTTTTATCGACTCTGCAGTTCTTGTGATGGTAAAAGTGTAAAGATTTACAAGCTGCATGTTTGTTTGCCTTCTGTTCAACAGAGCACAGCCTTGGCTCTTTGTTACCGTTTGCCAATTGTGACTTTCATCAATAAAGCCAGTTACAGACAAAGCCCAAGTTTTGACTACCTTTTGCCAACTGACTTTTATTGGTACAACAGCACAAGCTAAAGGAATGGTTCACCAGCTTATTTCATGAAATACAACAAGGTGTACTTTGCCAACACCTTTCAGTTGTGCAAGGAAGTAAGTTGGTTTTCAACTCAATCTCATTCTCAGTCGTTTTCCCGCGCATTTGCTGTGATCTGGGACACTATTGGGAAATCGAATTGCTTTAATTTAAGTGAAATGTTTCTTTTAGCTGTGGAATAAGAACAAACACTTTGAAGAGAAGCATTCGTTTTCTAAAGTTTTGGAAAAAATGATGAAATACATAAAAAAACTGACAAGGTGCATGGAGAAGCATGGTGAGACCTTTCTCCCGGGTATGGCCTGTTAGAACGTAAACCTGTTGATTTCAATGTTAGTGTATCAGCAACTTCTAAGAACAACCTATTCCAGGTCAATACCACATCATCAACAGTATTATTCAAATCTTCTGTAAATATATCTGCATTTTATGACTTATACGAGCAGAATTAAATAATTCTTAGGTTAGCTTTTGTGACACCTACTTTTAAGATACAAACAAAAACTGTTTTCTATTGTCTGTGGTTCTATGGTTTTACTTCAACTACATTTGATATGAAATCTCTACAACCTCTATTCCAGGTCAATACCACATCATCAACAGTATTATTCAAATCTTCTGTAAATGTACCTGCATTTTATGACTTATATGAGCAGAATTAAATAATTCTTAGGTTAGCTTTTGTGACACCTACTTTTAAGATACAAACAAAAACTGTTTTCTATTGTCTGTGGTTCTATGGTTTTACTTCAACTACATTTGATAAGAAATCTCTACAAAATATTAACATGAAATACTAACCTGTACCTTGCTACAAAGCAGAAACCCATCGAGAAAGTTGCGTTTAGTTTCGGGTAAATATCTTGGGAG